CTTTGGGCCCTCAGATCCGGAAGTGCCTCAGGTGTCCATGTTTAGGCCGTAGCATCTGGAAATTCCTCAGGTGCACTTCCATGTTTAATACCCTGGATCCAGAAGTGCTTCAGGCGTCCATGTTTAGGCCCCCAGATCCAGAAGTTCTTCAGGTGCACATCCATGTTTAGGACCCTGTATCCAGAAGTTCCTCAGGCACACGTCCATGTTTAAGCCCCAGGATCCGGAAGTTTGTCAGGTGCACATCCATGTTTAGGCCCCTGGATCCGGAAGTTCCTCAGGCATCCATGTTTAGGCCCCCGGGGTCAGAAGTTCCTCAGGTGCGTGTCCATATTTAGGCTCTAGGATCCAGAAGTTCCTCAGTCCTCCATGTTTAGGCTGTAGCATCCGGAAGTTCCTCAGGCGCATGTCCATGTTTAAGCCCCTGGATCCGGAAGTTCCTCAGGTGCACGTCCATTTTTAGGCCCCCAGATCCGGAAGTTCCTCAAGCATCCATGTTTAGGCTCTAAGATCCGGAAGTTCCTCAGTCCTCCATGTTTAGGCCATAGCTTGCGGAAGTTCCTCAGGCACACGATCATGTTTAAGCCCAGGATCTGTCCATGTTGTTTTAACCTGATCTCTTGGATCCTAGTGCAGGAGCTTACTACAAAACAATGAGCTCCCGTAATTTTTGTTCAACTCTTGTTTCTGGAAGTCTTGTGAAGTTTCAATCTGGTTTCCTGCTGAATATTGTTGATGAATATTCAGGAAATTAAGCAAAGAAATGACATCTGGTTTAGGAAGGAAGAGTAAGGGGTGATTATCAGCATTCTGTGTCTAGAAACAGCATCCCTTCTGGCAAAAAGAACAGGCGCCTCTTATCTGTAGCTCAGCTGAATTGATCAAAGCCTCTGGATATCCTGGGGTTTGTAACAAGCATGAATCATGGATGGAAGAGCTCAGATGTTCTTCCTCCCCTTTCTCTTCTAATTAGGCAGATCATGATATCAGGAAGATAATATAACTATACATGTAAATATGACAGTGACCTGAAAAAACATTATGATGTGAGTAGAAGAGCATTTATATTTTTCATGAAAGTAAGAAATGAACTTAGGTAACCAGGCATGATGATGCAAGCCCCTCAGAAGGCTGAGGCAGGAGGGTCACAAGTTCAAGGACATCCTCTGTAACCTAACAAGACTCTGGCTCAAAAGAAAAAGAAAAGAAAAACGACTGGAGATGGAGCTAAGTGGTAGAGCACTTGCTTGCCATGTGGGAGGCTCTAGGTTTAATCCCCAGTACTGGGGGTGAATGAATGAACATAAGTTAAGAAAAGCAGTTTCTTCCTTTCTTGCTTTCTTTTTTTCTTCATTTTCAGTGCTGGAGATTGAATCTAGGGCCTCACACATGATAGGCAAGTGCTCTATCACTGAGCACTAAGCTACATCCCTCATCCCCTAAAATTTGTGATTTCTGGTGCCACTTAAACTAACACAAGAATTCCAATCCTTGTTCCCTCTTACCTTAACTTAGACTGCTGATGTATATTGAATTGAATTTTTAAAATTCCACACCCCTCTCTACATTGCCAGTAGATGCTTTGAAATGGCTCAAAAATGATCAGGCGGTGAAGCAGGAAGAAGAAACCGGGTTCTAAGTAAGTTATAAAATGTTTAGATTTCCACTGCAGTATTTTTAAGAGTGAGTCCTCTTTTTAGTTGCTGTACTTAGCAAGAGGCAACCAAATAAAAGAGTATGTGAGGGCTCTTCCTCTTGGAGGAATACTGGGTTTCTGATGTAGAACTAGATGATTTATATAGGTTTTACATAGCTTGGTTTGTCTATACAGTGCTGAGATATCTTCTGTTTTACATTATTACTGGTTTTTTCTTTTTCTTTTTAAAATTTCTGCTTGTATGACAGTATAGAATTTCCCCCTCCTCTCCCCGGGATCTCTAGCTTCCACACTCACAGCCTGCTATTCCCTGTCCACATTAACAACTTGAACTCTCTGTCCACATTACTAACTTGGGGACCTTCTAGAGACTTTCTGGAGACTCATATAATCAACATCCAAGAATCGTCCTTCTTTCCTCCTTTTCCTCCTCCTTCCTCTCTCTCCCCTCCTTTTTTTTTTTTTTTTGTCAAACCAAATGAAAAACACGCACATATACAAACATATACCTCGTCCAGGCATCTCTTGCATTTCTCATTAGTGGAAAATTGGGGGAATCTTTTCCAGTAGCGGAACAGATTTTGCTCATTGTTCTAACAGTTGCCTAATATCCCACAGTTTAGAAGTCATACATTTTATTGGTAATGACCATACCTTTTGTTTCGGGTTTGTTTTGTCTTTGGTAATTTGACAGCTCTTATACTTAATATTTGAACATCCTTACATTTAATTCCTGAAATGTTTTGTTGTTGTTGTTGTTGTTGTTGTTTTAATATGGCCTAGGAAAGGGGGTTAGTTTGATTACAAAAATATGTGCACTTTTAATTTTAGTTAATATTGCCAGAATTTTTCCAAAATGGTTATCTTAGAAATATTGGAGAAAACCCTTCTCCCATTCTGTCCAAGTAGCAAGTGTCTTTCCTGCTCTGATAAGAATGGATTACAGCTGCAGTGCTGGGTGCATAGCCTAGGTACCTGTTAATATTCAATAGAACGTCTCCATTGTCCCTGCTGAGAAAGACTCTAGTTAACTTTTAATTGATTGATTAATTAATTAATTTTTAGTACCAGGGATTAAATCCAAGAGCGTTTAACCACTGAACCATATCCCCAGCCCTTTAAAAATTTTTTTGAGGCAGGATCTCAACAAGTTGCTTAGGGCCTCCCTAAGCTCCTGGGATCATAGGCACATACCACTGTGTCCAGCCTCTGGGTAGCCTTTATGATTGGGAGTGCTTGTGATTTTCTTTTGCATCTCTTAAAAAATTTACAGAAATTTTGTAGCAGGGAAGAAACTGGAGGCCATTCTAATGCAATGCATTCCCTTCATAGATAAGGAAATTAAGATCCAAAGAGGTGGAAGACATTCCAGTGAGCTGGTTCTGGCTGTTACTCCTGAAATGCAGTTGTTCTGAATTTCAAGACTTATAACATGATGCTGCTCCTATTCTGAGTCACATTGATGATGAATTTTAGAGAATGGAGCAACAAACTTCATCTGTGAGCTGAAATGACTAATGGGAATGTACTATTTCCAGTTTTCTATTATCTCCTACTAGGACAAGCAAGTTTCTTGACCTACTGTGAGCCATGCAGGATTTGCTTTAGAAACTTCTGACATTTGTTAACCTGGTCCTGTCAGTGGAATTTGTTGCTCCTAATTTTTTAGGGACTTGGAATTTTGTTTCTCCATAATATTAGAGTTACTGCTCACCAAGGATGGTGCAGCTGGCTTGGATCATAACTAAAATAGCAACAGTGAGGCACAGGGGAGATTTTATTTGCAGGGATGGTTTCCCCTACATAATCTTCCTGAACCTGCTTGAATAGAGAGCTGGGAAACAGGGAAGCCTAGAAAAAAAGACCTTGTATAGGCCCTATTTCTTACCATGTGTTATGCACAATTTGGCAGTTGTAATGTGCACAATTTGACAAGGGCTCATATGGATAGATGTTCCCTAAGGTTGAAATGAAGGAAATTTTGAAAGAAGCCCGAGACTCACTGAGTCTTTAAATTCAGGTTCAGTATCACAGTTCAGGTTTAGCTAATGGATTCTGTTGAGGGACATGAAAAGGGAGACTCCAACACTTGGATTCCCATTTGGGTTTGCTCTGTGTTCACTGCAGAGCATTGGACAGCATAGCACTAATTTTCCAGAATGTCTCTAACTAAAATCAGCCTATTCAGGCAGCTCAGCCCTTTCTCTTAACAGCAGTAAACATAATTGTGATGGAGATTCATTTACTCTCAGATAAACATCTCAAGTAGGTTAAGTTTTCATACATCTAGAGGCATGCCTTTCTGTTTCAATCTGGGCAGGAAATGTGGTTATATGTGAACCTGGCCGTCAGTGGCCAAGGTTTTTCTGGTTTAGTAGTTCCCACTCTGCAACTGGAATGACTGGGGAATTTTAAAAATATTCTTATGCCTGGGACCAATGGCTGAATTAAATTAGCATCTGTGGGAGAGGAGACCAGATATGGAATATTATAAGCTTTCCCAGGTGATTCGGACACATTTGGCTTAAGAATTTCTGGGCAGACTATTTGGAATGAAGAAAGCATCCCTGCCTAATGCAGAAAGAAATCAAATGTAACATAAGCTGTTCTTAGAATTCGGCCACTGGAGCTAGGGTTGTAGCTCAGTGGTAGAGTGCTCACTTTGCATGTGGAAGGCATTGGGTTCAGTCCTCAGCACCAGATAAAAATAATGGTATTGTGTCCATCTACAACTAAAAAAAAAATTAAAAAAAAAAAGAATTCTGTCACCCTACAGATGATCTCTGCCCATCATCTCTCATAGTGTGCTTTCTCTCCCCCTTCTTCCTGTATATTGTGGAGTTACGTCTTTACAGGATGCAAAACATGAATCATTAAAAAGTGCTCTATGAAGGCACCATGTGGATTAAAAACCAATGTTCCCTCTCTTGATACACCCAGCAAAATCAGTTCCTCTTCTGAGATTGGAATACATCAATTTCTTCGGCTAAAATTCTAATAAAATAACATTTGAGAGCCCTGTGCAAAAAAAAAAAAAAATCACTAAATATTGAAATAGCATTCAGTTTGGCGAGATACTCAAGCCCCAAGAAGCCCAACTGAAATTGTCTTAGGGAACTCCAGAATCCTATTTCTCATCTCACTTGATTCTAAAGCCTGCTCACTTAGTGGAGTGTGGGAAGTCGTGAATACCTCTGCAATTGTGAATTCCTCTTGATGCCCCTTTTTAGGCACATATAGTCAAATTCAAGAAAATCAAATGTTAAATGCATTCTCTTATTAAATATTCAAAAACTGAAAATTTTCTCATGTATAGGATTCAGCAGGACTCTTTGTCTTCTAGCATTCCCATGGTTCGGCATGGATATTGGTGGAACTCTGGTTAAGTTGGTCTACTTTGAACCAAAGGATATTACAGCCGAAGAGGAACAAGAGGAAGTGGAGAACCTGAAGAGCATCCGGAAGTATTTGACTTCTAATACTGCTTATGGGAAAACTGGGATCCGAGACGTCCACCTGGAGCTGAAAAACCTGACCATGTGTGGGCGCAAAGGGAACCTGCACTTCATCCGCTTCCCCAGCTGTGCCATGCACAGGTTCATTCAGATGGGCAGCGAGAAGAACTTCTCCAGCCTCCACACCACTCTCTGTGCCACAGGAGGCGGGGCCTTCAAGTTTGAAGAGGACTTCAGAATGGTAGGTGGTGCTTGTCCTTGTTAAAATAACTAAGCTTGTCCAGTCGTGACATTTTGTGCCTAAGAACTAGACTGCTAACCTTGGAACTCGGACAAATTTACTTCATAATCTGTGCCTTCACCTCACAGAGTTGTTACAAGAAGGATTAAATGAGATAATATGTACCTGACAGTACATGCTTAATATATGTTAGTCATCATCTCTTCTGTTACTATTACTGTTGTATGGGAATTCTAAAGACAAGGTGATAGAAATTCCCCTCTGAAATACATATGTCAGAATTTTCCACAGACTCTTACTACATAATCATAATACCAGTGTTATAGATGTATAAACTGAAGCTCACAGGAAGGCTTTCTATAAGTCATAGTAAAATTATTATTTTTTCTGCCTATTTGTTTTATAAATGTCTTTTTTTTTTAGTTGTAGATGGACACAATACTTTTATTTTATTTATTTATCTTTATGTGGTACTGAGGATCGAACCCAAGGCCTCATGCGTGCTAGGAAAGCACTCTACCACTGAGCTACAACCCCAGCCCAATATAAGTGTCTTTTGTTGTTGTTGTTGTTGTTGTTATATGAATGTTATTCAGAAGTTTTGCTCACAAATAAAAGTGAAATCTTTATATTTTTCTATAATTATGAGAATTATATTATTGTTTATATTATATAAGCATTATATAATATATAAAGTTGCTATTTAAAAAAGTTGCTATATTAATATTGTTTATAGGTTAATTCCTTCATTAATGAATATTATTCAAGACTTATAGTTCTGCGTCATAGGAATGATGCTGTCGTATCCCAACAGGCAGTACGTACCTTCTCTGCACCTGTCATTTAAATTTGACAGATGTGGCTAAAAGTAAGCTATAGACAAGAAACATGGAGTCCAGAGTTTTTATTTATTTAGTAATTCCTTAACCTCCACATTTCCAATTTCCCCTTCTTGTCAAGTCAATGGTCGCTGTATTGTTTAGCCTCATCTCACAGAGTAAAGTGAGAACAAAGTTCAATAGTAGATGTGGAGATATATTGGAAAATAAAGGGAACTAGATAAACAAAATGGATTGAACAAAAAGAAAGGCTTAGTTAATCTTATCATATTGAAAAATCAGTGAGGGAAGTTGTAGAATACATTTTCTCAAAACCTGTAGTGCAAACCACCATATTTTGTCATGGAACTAATATAATCTAGTCTTGCTATAAAGTCTGTCATTAGTGAATCCTGAAGACATTATTCATAGTATTTAATAAGGCTAAAAATGAAAATTTTATTTATATCTTCAAAAGTAACACTTTTACTTCTTATCCAGCAGTAATGTTCAATACCACTGCTTACTTAAATGACCTATGAAATCTTTCCCTCTTAAGGGGCTTAACGACTAAACAGTTTGAAAACTTAAAAGGTTAAGGTCCATTGACATGAGAACTAAATTTGAGTCCATAATGGAAAAAGCATTGAGTCCATAATGGAAAAAGTCCTGCTTCTGCATTTAATCAGCTGGGTGACTTGGGTGAGATGTGTCCTACCTGTGGGTCTCAGTTTCAACATCTGTAAAAAGGCAGTAAGGTAAAGAGGGGAGGGAGGGTTTCTAGAATGACAGAATTAAAAGGGACCTCTGGAGAGAAGGAAGTATAGCATTCTTGTTAAGTGACCTGGAGATGAGAGAGACTTATGTGGATGAGGAAACTAAAGCTTAATGGGCATTTAAGGGGCTCTAGTAGAGTTGTGCCTTCTAGGTGACATCTGGGGCTTTGGCTCCATTCTGATTCAGAAGTGGGTGGAAGTGCTATGAGCTCCTAGGTTGCTCAAGGGCACGCCATCTTCCCTCTCCATAAGAAAGCCTCAAGTGAACCAAAGTGACCTGGTAGACTTATGCAACCTCTATCAATGCCTCCCTCCCTCCTTGAGGGTAATGTATGTCCTGGGAGAAAGTTGCTCAATACATATTGGCTGTGAACAGATGTGTTTCTCAAGGTTCTTAGCTGAAAAAGGTCACATCCTCCTTCAGGGAAGCTTTTGGAGCCAAATGAATAGTCTGGAGCAGGGAGCAAATCTGGAGTATTTGCTAAATAGCATGGCCAGGCTGGGAATACACCTAAAAGAAAATTCCATGGGCTGCCTTCTGTTTCCACACTCAGTCAGTCCTGGCTAAATGAAGACACAATTGAAAGACAGATGTCTTCCCGTAGCCTGTTTGACAATGCACTAAGTGATGTGCCCAGATTCTTCCAAAGTTTATGAGGACAAATAGATTTTACCATCCTCTTTCCTAAGCATTCACTCATTCAACAAGTAACTTATCGTGCTTCTTCTACATGCCAAGTACTATTCTGAGAAAAACAAAACCCCTGCCAGCTCCTCTCAAACTTATATTCTGGTGGAGTAAGGAGTCAATAATTAAACAGACGAATATAGAATATATCAAATGGTAGTAAGTACTATGAAGGGAGAAATAAGGCAGAAGGATATGGAGTCCTGTGAAGACATAACAGAAATATGAAGAAGTAATAGAGCAAGCCAGGCAGATATCTAGGGAACAGCATTTTGAGCAGATAGAGAAATGAGTGCTAAGGTACTTAGTTGTCATATTCACCTTCTTTCCAGGATGGAAAACCGAAGATGCTTATTTTTAAATTTTTTATTTTCTTGCAGTGTCAACAATGGAAGCCAGGCCTTCTTGAATGCTAAGCAAGTGCTCTACTACTGAGCCACATCCCCAGTATAAACATACTCGCTAAGTTGGACAGGATCAATATATACTTCTGTATATATTAAACAATTTGACAAATAATAAGGCAGTGCATACGCATACCTGTAAAGTCCTGTTGTACAAAATCATTGTTTGGTGTATAATAAAATTTTGCAGATAGGAATTTTAAAAATTCATCTGAGTAATTAGAGCTAAATAAAAGATGTTTAGCAAGACTGGGGATATAGTATGTTTATCTACAATGCACAGAGGCTGGGTTCAATCCGTAGTATCCTAGTTCAGCAGACTAATGGTTTAGCAATTGTCAGGTATGATTACTATATCCTTGTTGTTGATAGTAAGTATATTTAAATCCTTAGGTAATGTAATTATTCTTCATATAATTTAAATGTATAAAAAAGAGTCCTGTGTTGGATATTTTAAACTGGACAAAGCTGCATTTGGTTCTTCCTTTTCTTTCCTTTATTAGCTTCCTTTTTTTTAACATTTAAAAAGAGTTTCTTTCTTTTTTTTAACATTTTAAAATCACTGTCACAAGCAAACTTCTAACTGGCTAAAATTAGTTTTCAAAAGTAATGATTTACCAAAATTGAACACAATAGAAAAACTTAATCTAACTTCAAATGGTCTAAAACATTTGATAATCCAATGAGGAATCCCACTATTTTAAAAAACGGTCCTCCAGGTAGGGAATTCTGCATGGTTGTGGACCGAACATTGTATATTTCGGTTAATTTTGTGTTTATTCCCACTGTCTGTCTCTATAGGTTTTGTTTTTTAAAAAACCTAGAAGACTATTTTATTTACCAATTCTAACATTTTTATCTACCATCATACTTCCTAATCTCAACAAGATTATTCTCAAGAAAAAAAAGTGTGAGGGATACAGTGGGGCACCTCTGCAATCCTAGCTACTCAGGAGGCCCAGGGAGGAGGATTCTGTTCCTGGCCAGCCTCAGCAATTTAGCAAGACCCTGTCTCAAAGTAAAAAGGGCTGTGATGTGGTCAGTGGTATAGTGATTATCTTGCATTTATGAGGCTCTGGATTCAATCCACAGTAACACACACACACACACACACCCAGCAAAGTATTTGTAGAAAAAATTCATCCCTTCTGCCCACGTAGCTCTTTATTACAATAGATAATTGTGAGTTTTGTTCAGTCCATGGCTAACATTAATGAGAAGTTGGAAAAAACTTAAGCAAAATAAGATCTACCCTTTGAATAAATAAGATTAACAATTTTATTTAGTTGATGTAAATTTAATATAGAGGAAAGGATTTTCCGATTGCTCTCATCACGTTTTTCAATTTTTAAAACATTAAATTTTGTTGGAGGGGCAGACTGGGGATCGAACACAGGGGCACTTTGCCACCCATCTACATCTCCAGCCCTTTTTATCTTTTATTTTGAGACAGGGTCTCACTGAGTTACTGAGACTGGCCTGAACTCGTGATCCTCCTGTCTCCTACCTCCTGCCTACTGCCTCCGCTTCCCTAGTCATTGGGATTATAGGCAAGTGTCACAACGCTTGGCACATGTTTTTCAATTTTAAAAACGTTCTTATGCCAGAAACTATGAGGGAAAAGTTGGTAATGGTGCAGAAATCATCAGGAGAAAGTAGACTAATTGTGGATATGTGGAATCTTAAATAGACCATTCAAGCACATTTATACTTGGTTCCCATTACTAATCCAGGGACTGATTTGTGATATTGCAAGAGGTTATACCATAAGGTTTGGTAGACGTTCACCATTGCCTCCTGGCTTGACCACCCACAGATGCCCCTTTCATGCTTGAGATTGGGAAGAAAAGTCACCTTGAGGTTTTGTTATATTTCTCCCTTGCTGTTTGAAATTCATCTCTCTATCTCTATCTCTCAGGTCTCTGTTGGGTCTTCTTTGTGAAAAGGAAACCTAAGTTTTTTTTTTTAATTCAGAATCAACTATTTTCTTTATGTACAGATAGTTCTTGGTTTAGTAAGATAACCTTTTCTGCCACTTCCAGTGTGATTTATGGAGCCAATGTCAGCCAAAACACCTTGGGAAGTGTAATGTAGCATCCAGCTTTGTTTTTTACTCATTTCTGAAGCACAATTTGGTCATTCAGTTCTCTACTACAGGTGAATGATAAAACAGATTTGGATACATCCAAACTTTTCTCAGGAAGTAGTTATGAAACCTCTTTTGATCAGATTTATTTATTTGTGTATTTAACTATTTAGTTAGTTTTGACATATGGAGTTAAAGCACTAAGTAGTTCCTCTTATAAATATATCC